GGTTTAGTCTATTCTCAGTGCTTACATTTGTTATATTTTTGCAATAATCTGATTTGTTGCATCTAGTGGATAATTAATATGAACATATGATATAAAATCAAACTTGTAGATGACTCAGTATATAGTATACAGTCACACATTGCCATGCTTTGTATCCTCATCATAAAACGACAACATGAAGATCATGTTTAGTTTATGGCAACTTACATGATTTGTGGATAACAGATATAATTTGTAGCCATAAGTCCCTCATCAGGGTGAACTCAGAGCTTCCCTTTTCTTTGTGATTGCAGTTCCTCCAATTCTCTGGAGGTGGAAAATATTTCACCTTTATTTTGGTTGAAGAAAGGTGCTGGTCTTTGAGAATCAAACTCTTTTTGCCAAAATAATAATTTACATAGCTACACACATGTGGATAGTATGTGTTAAATTCCTACATAAAAGTTGACTTAAATGTGTGCAAACTGTAAGGACTATTTGGTTGGAAAGGCACTTTCTGAGGTGAGAACTTTTTGTAGTTATACTGGTTGGTGATGCTTGTCTTCACAAGCAGACACACAGATTAGTAGGAAGCAAAGTCAGAACCATCTGACTGCCAGACAACTACTCCTCCCTTTGCCATCAGTACACATATTTTGAGAGAGCTTTGTGAGTGAGATGAACAGATGAAGGGTTTTTTAAAAACAAAATCCTTTACTGAATCTGGCCAGTGTATACCAACACAACCTTTTTTCTACAGTCTACAGCAACCAGCTGTAGAGTCTTTCTTTTCTCCAAAAAGCAAAAGTGAAAATATTTTGTCAGGAAATCTCATCGACTGAATTATCTAGTGAACCAATTCAGCTAAACGCATCACCTCAGCTTTTTTGTTCTATTGTGAGGGACATTAGAATGACCAGAATGTGTTCTTTACTTCAACTTGTGAAATGTGAAGCAGGCCTTTATAGTTTCAGTTGACTCCTGGTCTGAAATGGACGATCTGTTGTTGGAAGAGGACAGATTAATTTAAAATGTGATTTTATTGGACAGAATTTTATAGAACTCTGATGGCATTTGATGTGAAGTAGAGCTAAAAAACCCACTAAATAGCAGTTCTGCCCTGCCACCCGTCAACAATGATTACAGCAATAATATTAGAAATATTAGAATACGTCTTAGGATGACACTGTCAAATTATGACCAAACTATGATGCTCCAAAGAGGCTTTTTCACTGGTTTGCATTATTTATTTAGTACATCACTATACATCACTGTATAGTGATGTATTTCATGTCATGATTTTCATGTCTCATATGTGTGCTGTGCACAATTTTGGAGTTATTGCATCCTTTAACATCAGGATAAAGTAGTTTGAAGATCTCGGAACTAAATGAGATTTAAAAAATTGTATGTTTGTTTTTCAACTGAAAGAGGTTTTTATTTATTTATTTATTTTTTTTTAAATTGTTATGTTGTGTTTTAATGTGCAACACTTTGTATCAGCTGTGGTTGTTTTAAAGTGCTTTATAAATAAAGTTGGTATGGTATGGTAAGTAAAAGAAATGTGTTCTTCTGTGTGTTTGAATTCCAGCATGGAGATCTGTGATCCAAAGAACAACATCACCATGTGTCCCCTGTGTGACAGAGTGTGTAGCTACTGGAAACTCAGTACGGCATGTGGAACTGCTCGTGCCAGTCACCTGTTTGACAACCCAGCCACGGTTTTCTTCTCCATATTTATGGCGCTGTGGGGTGAGAAAACAAGTCTGAGTACAAGGCATCAAAAAGTAAAAAAAAAATTGTACTAATACTCTACTGAGGTCCAACTTATTGCACATGTAATATTCTTATAGCTGCCATGTTTATGGAGCACTGGAAAAGGAGGCAGATGAGACTAAACTATGAATGGGACCTCACTGGGTTTGAAGATGAAGAGGTGAGTCCATCTGTCTGTTTGCTTGTCTGTCTTTGTCTGTTTTATAAAGGTTTTAAGCTCATTTTTAGTAAATTATTATTTAACTTTCTTAGATGTTTGTTTAAATCTCTTTTTTTTAATCTAATATAATTGCTTGTTCTGTTTTTAGCCCTTAGATCTCATTCTAAAAAGGGCATTATAAATATAAAAAAGTATGAAGTCCTCCATATTTTCTCTAACCTGGCAGAAGTCCACTGTTACTTTCTACTGCTAGTGTGAAATTGTCAGCTAGATCTTTGATAAAACAATGAGGAATGTGATGCTAACCACAATTATTCATAGAGTGGTCTTTGGATTATCACTTTGGTCATCATTGAATTCTTTAGTCTGTCAGTAATATACAGTTACTACAGCTGTGTCTTTTTGTTGCAGTATATTTTTGCCAATTTTCTGCAGCCCCAGTACTCACATGTATATTTATCGATGTTCACACTGTTTGGTTGAGAAAACAGTAAAGTCTTAAACAGCAACCATTAACATGACAGTTATATCTGATAAGAAGTTCTATTATGAACTGGGATTACTAAAAGAGCTTTCTGCTGCAGGTAAGATACTGACTGCTTCTACTTTGTCTATACATGCCTAAACCAAATAGGAAGAAATGACGGCATGAGTGTGAATGTATACTAAGATTATCCTTGTTATATTTGACTGACGATCCTTTTGTCCCTGTTTTTTTTTGTTTTGTTCTGTTTTTATGTGTTTTTTTCACAGGAAGCATTGAAGGTTTGAAAAACTTTCTTTCTGGTTACTAACTTCCTCTCTAGGTCAAGGTCTCTCTGTACTACACAGCCTTTCTGCTACCACTGCAAGACATTTTTCTTTAAAATCACCTTGTTTTCCAATCCAACAGTTTTCACTTTTTACAATGTACAATGACAGCGAAACACATACAGTCATGATAAAGAAAAAGTACACCCTTTCTCAATTCTAACATTTTATACAATATTTGTTTAATTAATGCAGATTTTTTTGAAAATTGATACCAGCTTGGAAAGTTATCAAAAACTATCTGACGTTGTACAAAACTTAGAACATCATTACAGAGATGAAGCGAAAATTGAGAAAAGTTGTGATTAAAACTGTATCAAGTAAAAAATGTTTGAGGGCACTTTTTCTTTAAAAAATACAATTTGATCTGACATTGTAGCACTTTTGTTATTAAAATGATTCAGGACTGTGTCAGAATCAGAGGTAGGATGAAAGTCTACAGAGGAAGAGACAAACGTTCTCTTGCAATTAACAACAAAAGCCACAAACTCATTAATAAGCTAAAATCAAAGGAGATCACATGACCGAGTGTGTGCTCCTCATTTTGAATAGGCCCTGTATCAGTCCTATTGAAGTTAAAAGACTTAATAAAGATGTAGATGTTTATGAGAAAAACATGGATGTCAAACTCATAAGACTATGCACTACTGACTCCCCAAAGAGACAAAACTCTCTGGAGCAGATTGGGACCTGTAATTAAGAGGGTATACTTTGTTAGTACAATGACTGTGGCTGCTCTATATTTCATATTTGTTCTAATTTTCTATATGGATTTGCAACTTTTAACTTCTGAACTGCTTCTGTTATTTCCTGTTCACATTCTCTTACCCTTCACACTGTTCCAAATTTGAGCATGGTTACATATGCTTCACAAGCTGTTCTGGTCATCTTTTCCTCAAACAGGATTCAAGTCCTAGAGTTAAGTTTTACTGCAATGCATTTTTGAGAAAGTTCAGATTGCATCTTAAGAGTTCCTGGTGGCGCCGCAGCTGATCTGTTGAACAATAGTGAAAGTACAGAAAGAGTGTGGGAGCTTAGCTGCCAACACTACCACAGTACAAAGCTCTAAAGTGACTTCTAGAAACATGTTATTTTGAACAGTTCTTATCTGCCATGCTTTACATAACTACATGTTTATTACACTAACAGGAACTCTTATATCAACATGATATATGGCCTTCTGGCATTTTGGTTTCTGATGAAGTTGTTAATCTGTAGTTTATCTTAAAGAAAATTATTTCTCATCTTGAAAGAAATATTATAGTCAGTGACTTCTCCAGCAAATAAACCTAATAAAATGAAATTTATTTCTATCATTTTTCATTTTGATCACCATCACAGGATCATCCCAGGGCTGAATATGAATTCAGAGTGATGCAGAAGTCCCTGAAGAAAGAAAAAAAATCCCCACAGAAGGTAAGATAACACATGCTTTAAGTAGATAGTGTCAGCAAAGGATATCTGTCTTCCTATGTGTGTTTGTGCCAGTATGTGCACTTGTGTTCTGTTGCTGAATTGTTCGTTAAAGCCTCAAATTAAATCATATATTAAAATAAATAACTGTATCAGTACGCAGTACTAATAGAAACATGGAGTATAAATCCTTGTAGTTTGATCATTGTGGCCTGTTGGAGGTAAACCTCTGCTGATCGTCTCAGTTCCAAAACCATCTGGGCCTCACAAAAACCTCTGCAAACATTCTTGCCATTATTTTCAAGTCACAGTATCTGCTGCCATCTACTGGTGTCACAACACATTCTGCAAAAAAATGTTACTGACATAAAATCGGGCTTATTTGGGATGAGTGGGGCCAGTGATCCTTGTAACAGCTGGGATTGTAAAGCTTTTACTTCTTTATTTTAGATGGAAAAGCTCACATGTAGAGACCGCCTTCCTGCATACATGACTAATATTGTCATGATGCTGCTGATGGTAAGTCATAACTAACTGTCAACAATGTCGCCTATAAATGTTGTGAAATGTAATAAAACATATCTTCATGTTGTTTTCCTGCAACCCTTCCTGAACAGATCGGGGTTACGTTTGCCATTGTGTTTGGTGTGATTCTTTACCGGATTTCCACCAAAGCTGCTCTATATATGAGCTCCAGTCCAACCACAAGAAGCCACGTACAACTGACAGTAAAAACCACTGCAGCCATCATTAACCTAGTGGTCATTCTGATCCTGGATGAAGTGTATGGAGCTGTGGCTCGCTGGCTTACTGTCCTAGGTAAAGAAAAGACTTAAATAGTAGAACTGTTTAGTTCTACTATTTAAAGCTAGAGCTTTGGCAACTTTAGAGTCTCTCATGTCTCCAACTCCTCTTCTGGTCTGCCTGGTGGGCATATATATATATATATATATATATATATATATATATATATATATATATATATATATATATATATATATATATATATATATACATAGAGAGAGATCTATCTATATATGATAGATCTATATAAATAGATCTCTATATATCTGCATATCTAGATATATTGATATATAGATCATAAAGTACGTATATACTTTCTATGTATATATTTAGTATATACATAGAAAGTAACTTCTATATGTATAGATCAGAAAATGTGTTAAAAATCATGGCAAAGTGGATAAAGATTTTTGGCATACATCACATTAATGCTTCATATATTCATACCTTTTATTTTCCTTTATCTTTCTCAATATTTGTTTTTCTGTTTTCTCTGTCCCTGTTTTGTGGCAGAGGCCCCTAAAACGGAAAAGAATTTTGAGGAACGGCTGATTTTTAAGACTTTCATTCTCAAGTTTGTCAACGCGTTTACCCCAATCATCTACATCGCTTTCTTCAGGGGAAGGTTACTGCTCTCGTTTTTTATGCTCTTTTTTATTGTATCAGTATATCATATTTATGTCATCAGCTGAATATTTATTTCTTCATTTCACTTTCCTTGTAGACTGGTGGGCAGACCAGGCAGATATTTATATGTGTTTGAGTCTTACAGAATGGAGGAGGTAAACTTTATGTTTTCATTACATCTGCAAGCAAAATTTATGAACTAATATTATTGTTTTTTTCTAAAACAAATTCCAAAAACCAAAAACAGTAGAACAGGAGTCCATGAAAATCCAATTAGTGGAATTCTGACTATTAGGACCTGATTTAATGAAGCACTATTTGTGAGGAATTCCAACATTGTGAGAACTTGAACAGGAAACGCAGGCTCCATAGTTTCCCAATGCAAGGTGGGCTTGCAGGAGGGCAGTTCTGCAGTTCTGTGTGATGGTCTACGGGCAATCTGAAGCAGCTAATAAACTGCTCATCATCATGTTCATGCAGTTCAGTCTGGTCTCTGAACACACACTTAAGGCTCCTAGTCTTTAAGAACATGGGCACAGTTACTTTGTTCAGGTTTAACTATTTTTTACTGTGTTCCTGATTTCCAGTGTTCTGATGGAAGCTGTCTGATGGAGCTATGTATCCAGCTGAGTATTACCATGTTGGGAAAGCAACTCATTCAAAATAACCTTTTTGAGATTGGAATACCGTGAGTACAGTTCTGTTTCTGGATTTATTTTATTAGATCTGATTAGCAAGGATTTGGCACGAGCCTGCCATTCCATTCCTGTGAAAATACAGCCGAAAAATACCTCACTTACAGCACAGTCTGGGCTTTCTCCCATTCACTCAGATTCCCTCCGGTCAATTTTTGACCTGGCCAATAAGAGAACAGAAGGACAAGTTCTGAACAATGTTGTTGATTTTCTGCGCTGTTATATAATTGCAGTCTGCCTGTAATTTTATCAATGGCAGCAGAGAACGTGAACAAAATCGTCCAATCTGTGTTAGTCATTCTTCAAAATATTGAGTTAACATCAACAGCCATCTTGCTGGGAGGATGATCATCCTCCACAATCAGTGGAGGATGATTGTTTGGAGTGCAGACAGCTTCCAATTAGATTTATAGCGTTGAACTGGTGGATTACATACATCATGGGCAAAAGTTAGTGAATGGGTAAAATTTAAAACTTCAACAGAATCCATGCCTCCGGGAATCAATCATTTCTCAATAGCTGAGAGCCCTCTGAACAAAGCAAATGGCGTAGGACAAGGGGCTTGGTTTTACCAGGCTAATTGGCACAAAACAACATCTATTTTATGATTCTGTTAAAAAGGGTGGTGACTGCAAAAGACAATTTTAAACAAGGAAATTTTAATCAACTGTTAAACCTTGTTAGTTGTTCATCCAAGTCAAGTTAGTTTAGAACTAAACTTAACTTGTGTGTGTTTTTTTTTACATTCCTCAGCAAACTGAAGAAGCTAATTCGATACATTCAGTCGGAACAAGGAGCATTTCAAGAAGAAGAGAGACAAAAGAAACTGCGGAGATATGAGACAGACCACTTCTTGGAACCGTTTGGTGGACTGACACCTGAATATATGGAAATGAGTCAGTAGTAAACATAAAATCCTTGCATGCAATAATTTTCTGTAAGTGACTGAAAGATATGAGTTAAAGGCTTGGCTCTAGTTCAGAATATTTAAACCTATCCAGCTTGTTCTGTTATGTTGATAGTAGTTTAAACTTGGTTTAGACTTCAATAGATATATTGAATAATATATATTATATATTGATAATATTCATTTCAAACTCTGTAGATCACATTGAGTCCTCCTCAAGTCTACATTTGCAAATCTGGACAGATCCATTTAGGTTGCATTTAACCAGAGATGTTATTAACATTCATAATTCAGAGATGGGCTTTGGTACCAGTAGAACTACTGGATGTGGTGTGGAGACAATATGTGGCTCAATCAGAAATGTATTGTCTGATAAATGTATGAATGTTTCTGCTTTGTGAGTGAGACAGGGTGGATGTAGCACTGGTGTAAAAGTGCTTTGATTGGTCAGTATGACCAATCCATTTACTCAGTCCATTTACCATTTATATTTCAGTACATTATGCAGATCTAAGTGAAGTCGGCATCCACTCAAGCACAGAACTGAGTGTTTTCCCCCACATAAACAAAGAATGATGAACTTTGACCATAATGGATAGGACTTGATCCCAATTTGATATTGAAAAAGATGTAATATAATATCCCTTTCTTGATCATTTTATTTAATATGTAAGGTTTTTTAACTAAACATAAAAACTTCATTTTTGCAACTGCCTTTCTTGCTTCCTTCCAGAGAGTATCTGGTGGTAGTCAGATGTTCTGTGTCTTTACACTGACCAAAGAGGTCATGGAGAGATGTGTGCTCGTCCTCATCTTAACATCTTACATTAACCTAGAAACATTTACTGGATCACCATTTGTTGTCTAATTCATGCAGTATTATTTGAAAGCATCCATGTATCATATGCAAGTTTTCCCGAGTGTATTATAAGCTTGGCAGACCACCAGGCTTTGTTTGACCCCCACCAGGCTAAGCGTTGTTTGCTCATTTTATAGAGTTTTTTATACTCAAGTAACAGTGACAGCAAAGATTGATTAAGTTAGTTAAGGCATCAGCACCAGTTGCACCGTTCATATGTCTGTCCATTGGCCTCACATGCTATTGTTTCCAAACTATAATGCCTACTATTGCAACTCCAATTTTTTTTTTACTTTTAAACATTTTTCAACACAAAAACTACTGATGGGCGCTGATGGGTGCTCCTACCACCAGGCTTGGCATGTTTTCTGGGGGAAACTCTGACATGTAAATATTAAGGCCTTTTTAGGATTTAGCATTGTTGCTACACTCATACAAAAAAAAGGTAATAAAGATGAATAATCCTTAAACATTACATAAAAATTGGATTAAACCTAAATCTTACTATTGGACTGATAACAATACTTTTGAAGTCAACTTGTGCTTTACATAGGGTCCTAAGAGGACTTATTTTGGATGAGCAATACATAAATAAACAAAAAATATTCTTTGTTCTTCTTTTCCAGTTATCCAGTTTGGTTTTGTCACATTGTTTGTAGCATCCTTCCCTCTTGCTCCTCTGTTTGCTCTGCTCAACAACATTATCGAAATACGGCTTGATGCTAAGAAATTTGTGACTGAGCTGCGAAGACCAGTGGCAGCAAGAGCCAAAGATATTGGTGCGTTTTTCTATGATATGATTAAGTTACAACACAATCAACGCAGTGTGGTTAATGATATTATTAATAAGCATATTGCTGACACAAAGGAAAATTAATTTTCGAGTACTATCACGCTATAATGTGTTAATTACATTGTACAAACTAACCCTAACCTTAACATAATATATTGTACAAACATGATAATTATATTGTATAAATGTTATAATTTCATCCATCCAGATGTATGCTAAAGAAGGCTAGTAAAGTGGCTAACAGGAGTTGGTCAAGTTTTCCTGGAGAGATACTGATGCTGCTTTGCATTGCATTTGAAACCATTAATAGTATGCACACTCTGGCCAGGATCCTAAACAGAATGGAAATGCACAGAAGGAAACGTCAGTCCGATCCGCTAGATGTGGCGCCGTTCCTAACTGACTCTCTGGAATGAAGCTGCAATTGGCTTCCGATTCAGGAAATGGCTAAAGAGCAATTCCACATAATTTTCACTACCTTGAGCGCCTTTAATCTGTTCTACTGTAAAATCTAACATACTTAGATTTTAAAGTAGAACATTTCCCGAATCAGAAGCTACAATTGGAAGCCAACTTCAGCTTCGTTCCAGACAATCAGTTAGGAATGCAGCATGTAGAGGATCAGATTGACTGTTCCGTCTGTGCAGTCCCATTCTGTTTATGATCCTGCTTAGAGTGCACATGCTATTAATGATTTTCTACGCAATCCACAGCAGCATCAGTATCTCTCCATGTTTTAGACCAAGCATGAAGGAAAACTTGACCAGCTCGTGTTATCCACTGTACTAGCCCTCTTTATACCTGCACTAAAAGCATATTACCACATATCACGCTTATACAATATAAAGATCACTTCTGCACAATATATGATCATGTTTGCACAATATACAGACCCCTCCTAAAGTATTGGAACAGCAAGGCAAATTCATTTGTTTTTGTTGAAGATATTTGGACTCAACAACAAAAGACAAGCATGAGACAAGAGTTCAAAATGTCAGGTTTTATTTTATGGGATTTACATGTAGATGTGTTAGGTAAATTAGGATATCTCACCATTTGTGTTACACCACAGCATTTTTATGTGAGCAGAAGTAAAGGAACAAATGATCTTTATGTGAATAGTATTTAACATTTGGTGGCATAACCCTTGCTTACAATGACTGGCTCAATCCTGCGACCCATCAAACTGTCGCATTCTTCATTTGTGATGCTATTCCAGGCTTTTACCACAGATTCTTTCAGTTCTCGTTTGTTTCGGGAGATTTCTCCCTTCAGTCTCCTCTTCAGGAGGTGAAATGCATTCTCTATCGGTTTAAGGTCAGGTGATTGACTTGGCCAGTCTAAAACCTTGCACTTTGTTTCCTCTGATGAAGTCCTTTGTTTTGTTGGCAGTGTGTTTCGGGCCACTCTCCTGGTGCTTGATAAAATTCCTTCTGATTACTTGGGATGCATTTCTCTGTAAATTTACACACAAAATGTTTCTGTACACTTCAAAATTCATTCTGCTGCTACCATCATCAGTTACATCATCAATAAAAATTAATGAACCTGTTCCAGAAGTAGCCATGCATGCACAGGCCATGACTTTACCTCCACAGTGCCTCACAGATGGACTTGTATGCTTCAGATCCAAAGCAGTTCTTTTCTTTCTACACACTTTGGCCTTTCCATCATTTTGGTAAAGATTAATCTTGGCCTCCTCAGTCCATAAGATTGTGTTCCACAACTTTTCTGACTCATCTCTGTACTCCTTTGCAAATTGCAATATGGGCTTCCGATTCTTACTACTGATAAGTGGTTTGTATCTTTGGGTGTGCCCTCTATATTTCTGCTCTCTGAGTTTTCTTCGAACAGTGGATTGTGATACCTTCACCCCTGATACAACTGATGTGTTGGGGGTTTTCTTCACAGCTCTCACAATATTTCTGTCACTAGCTACTGTTGTTTTCCTTGGCCGACCTCTTCACTGTCTGTTGCTCTGTATGCCAGTCATTTCTTTCTTATGCAGAACATTTCAGTTGTTGTGCTTGTTTGTCCAATGGCTCTGAGTGATTTTTCTTCTTTTCTCAGCTTCAAAGTGGCTTGTTTTTCTCACATAGATAGCTCTCTGGTCTGTCTATAATGAGCTTGTGTGGTTCCTCTTTAAAGAGGATAAACCAACATAGGCCAGGGCCAATAGACTATGCTTTGTTTAAGCATAGCCTACTGCCTATGTTTAAACCTAGCCAATAGTTTTAAGCATAGGCCAAAAAGTAGACTGGTCAAGCAGAGATATTTAATGTTTGAACAATCAATGTTAAACCTGGTCAACAAGAAACACCTGTCAGTCACATGTTCCAATAGTTTTGCTCACTTGAAAAATGGGTGGGTTCAAACAAAGGGTGGTATGTCCTGAATTGTTTGTAACACATCTACATGTAAATACCAGAAAATAAAAGCTGACATTCTGAACCCTTGTCTCATGCTCATCTATTGTTGTTAAACCCAAATGTCTTCACTGTACAACAAAAACAAAGAAATTTGCCTTGCTGTTCCAATACTTTTTGATGTGATTTCAAGTATCACGTTTGTGCAATGTTATTACGTTATAATTAAAGTTTAGAGTGATAGTGCTCTAAACTTTGTTTTCCTCCATGACAACAATATGCTACCACATAATGATGTGTCCAGTGATTGATAATTCTTATTTTTATGCTTGCAGGTATATGGTATGACATTCTGAGAGGAGTAGCAAAAGTTGCTGTCATCATTAATGTAAGTAAAACTAAACATACCTATCTGTATGTATAAATGTTTTGGGTCAAACTATGATCAAATGAAATATGTTTCTATAAGTGACAACTTTCAGTAGAGGAAAGAGACTATAGAACTAGGAAGGAGGAGGAAGAACATAGATGCAGAATTAAGGCAAAAGTGAAGCCAAAGGTAATCTGAGTGGCAGGATCTCTACTCCACTTTTATAATTTTTCTTATAGATTCCTGCTACAAGATTGTTGGTTACGTATTGTAACCCCAGATTCTATTTCGTATAGGCTTCGCCCTTTAAGGCTATCGCTAGTGGGTTAACGGCAAAGCAGGATGTAGTCTATGCCTCACTGGGTCCATCCAGACCACCACCATGAAGCATCGCACAAAAACATTCTCAGCCCAGAATGTGTAATTACCCTTCTTGGCCTCCCATACAGCAGAAGACCAGAGAGGAGAATAACATCTGGTCAGAAAGGTTGAGACAAACAGACCTGCTGCTGTGAACAGGAACAACGAACATTACTGTAACAGTGTAACGATGAACAGAACAGGTAACTTATTATACAGCACTTTGGACAACCGTGTTGTTCTCAAATGCTTTGTAAATAAACGTGACAAAAATAATTATTCTGTCAGAACTCTGAGGACAGAATGGGTCATAGAGAATGTGGAAACATCACACAGGTAAAATGGAATAAATGAGCACGGAGATGACCAGAAAGCTGCCGTGCAAATGTCCTCCACAGACATTCCTCCACGCAGAGTTGTGGAGGATGAAATCCCTCTGGTGGAGTGAGCTCTCAGATTCTCTGGAGGATCCAATCCAGAAGAAGTGTAAGCCTGTGAGATGGCCTCACACAGAAAGACACTGGGCGGACAGAGAACGCTCCACTGAGTTATCTCTGTAATGCATGAACAGACTCAGAGAGCGACACAGTGCAGTCTTGCGTGCCACATAACAAGAGAGCGCGTGCACAGGGCAGAGAAGATGAGAAGCAACTTCTGTCTCAGATTTATGAGGAGGGGGATAAGAACCCTCCAAAGATATCTCCCTTGATCTGAACGAGCTTGTGATGCTTTGAGGAGTAAAAGCAGAATTGGGACGCAGCACAGCTGAGCTGCTGTTGGCTCATATTCAGAGACAAGAAGGAGCAACAGAAAGAGCAGATAAATCGCTCAATCTCTTTGCAGACATAAGGACCAACAGCAGAGCAGTTTTAAAAGACAGGAACTTAAGAGGAGCCTGATCTAAATGCCCAAATGGAGCTTCAACCAGAGCGCACAGGACCAGTGTTAAATCCCATGGAGGAGCAAGTGGGCGTGACACCTGTCTGCTTCTGAGCACACCTCTCAGAAACTGCTTCATCAGCGGGTGGTTGAAGACCATTCTGTCACCAAAAACCCTCATGGCAGGAGGAAATAGCTGCAGCACGTGTTAATGGTGCTGAAAGCTAAGTTTCTGTCCATCAGCTGCTGGAGAAATGTCAGCACTCAGCCTAAAAGACATGAAATGAGCTCCATGCTCTCTCCTGCACACCACCGTTGAACGACTGACCATTTTGAAGCATATAAGGATGTGGTAGAAGTGGCTCGTGTGCCCTGAATGGTGTGCACCCCACCTGGAGGGAGACCGAACCTCTCTAGGTGCTCCCTTTCAGCTGCCAGACCCAGAAACGCTGGCCTATCTGTGGGTGGCTCCTGATCACTCCCCCGGCCTGGGAGAGCGCATCCTCTCTGACACCAGCTGCTGCAGACTGGGAAACCGTGTCGTGTTCTTGCACTCAGGTGCCACCAGGATTACCGACAGCTGTTCCTCTCGAACTCGATCCAGGAGCCATGGAATCAGTGGAACTGGGGGAAACGCATAAAAGACCGCCCCTGGACATGATGTCCACTCCTCTGTTCAAGACGCTGGGGCAGCCCCGGCTCCAGATGAGTTTAACAGGATGAGGCATCGAAATATTTTGGGGGGTAAAATGAATCGACGTAGCTGAACATAGACAACAACATCAGTAGCCTACAGGCAACTTGTTAACAAGCTTAAGGTACTGTATTGATATTAGCTA